GAGGGTGGCGTTCAATTAGGAGGGACTATGTATTAGAGTGTTTACGGAATTTTGAATAAAGAAGAATTTATTAAAGAGAAGTGTCAACTTCGAGCATAAATTTAGCGGACCTTCTCTAAATATATTTGAGCACGGGATAAGAGAAAGAAATGAGAGAAAATGACTAATTAAATTTCTCGTCTTATCTCAGAAAATTACTGCGCAAGTGAATAAGTACATTATCTAGACAGATGGAAAATAGACCAAAAAAATGTTAACCCTTAGGCTGGAAACTATTGGTGTTGAAGTATTTGAACGAAATTATACATTGTATAAGACACTATTAGATGAATTTCAAAGAGAAAGGGGAAGCTCAAAACTGAGGTAAAGCCTTTTACAGACAGATATTTTAGATGAAAGAGTCATTGGAAAGTTAGTCATAGGTTGAGCTAATTTGTAAGACAAAGTAGGGTAATTTCGCAAAAACCAGGCGTATTCAAGGAAGTTCAATTGGTCTGTGAGAGAAACGCGGTTTTAGAAAATAGTATGGTTCGGAAAGGAAACGTGAAAGTATCACCTAGAAATGTTCCTCTTATTTCAAACAATCTTGAAAGTGGGTACCCTTACATATAGTTTGCTAAGAAACTCAAAAAACAGAAATAAATATAGCGGAGGGCATACCAGATAGAAAAAAAAACTTGAGGCAAATTTTTTAGAGGGAGGAAATGCTTGTTTCTCAGCTCGGAATATCCGATTAGAATTATGAATCGAAAAAAAAATAGTTTGCAACCGGGAAAATAATATTGTGGAAGGAACAGGGGGTTGATGCAATAATTCTCAACTGTCTTTCATTTTTCCAAACCTTCCCATTGTTTTAAATCATGACTCAAAATTTTCAAAGAAGTTTTATGCACTGTTTTTCTTCACTTCCTTCTCCTCATCAGCTTTTGGAGATCTTGTTTTCCTCTATTTTCAGCTAATTTTCTTCTTTAAAAACTAATAGCTCCCGATTAAGTCTCATTAGTGTTCACAAAAACAATCAGCGACCAACGGGACAAATCACGAAAGCCTTTTTTTGGAAATGGAGGGTAAAAACTGAAAAGAAATAATTGGAGCTCATAAAAATAGGCAAGTGGACACTTGACAAAGACATGTAATAGCTTTTTCCTCGAATACTTTCTTCACATGCGTGACAGGTATATGAGGGACACAGTAGGTTTATTTCGGAAAATAACTCGTGTTGGGAAAGTTCAAAACATAAAAGCAAACAAAAAACAAAAAAATTAATACATGTATATTTTTATTCCACTACTAAAAAAGGAAATCGACTATTTTTCCGGGTTCAAATAGTTCTTGAATGGTGCCCTCGGGGTATTTTTAAGAACCAGTCTCCAAAAGAAGACCTTTGGACCTAAAGAATAAAATGACGATGGGGAATGAAAAAGAAAACCTTTTGGGAAAGAAAAAGAAGTGGTTTGGTACCGTCCCATGGGGACACCTTCCATCTACCGAAAAAAAAAAGAAGACGGGGGAAGAAAAAAGTTTTCTTTTCAATAAATAAAAAAGATTGGGATGCGGGAAAAAGAAGGATGAGAAGACAGCAGAAAAGTTTATTTTTTGTTTCAGAATCCTTTCGGGAGAAGAGTTCAAAAACCTTTTTTTGCTCAGAAATGCCTGGTATATTTGAGGTAGTCTCATACCGTTTGGAAGAGTTAGGGGAATCAAGCCTCGAGGAGTAAGAAAAAAATCATTGAAAGTCTTAATTCAATAGTTGATATGCATTCATAGACTCACCATTATCTTCTCCCATTCCATCAATTTTTGAAATAGATTGACAAATCTAAAAAAACCGTAAGTACCATGTAGGCTATAAACGATGTAAAAAACATGTGTCAAAAATAGAAGCATAAGACTACGAATTTCCGTTTTGCGGGGAAAAAGAAATTTCGATTGGATTAAAAGTGTACCAGCCCGTTTAACCAATTAGGCTTTGGAACAATAAAAAATCCGGAAAAAAGGATATAGAAAAATGGACCAAAAAGAAGAATCCAGTTGAATAGGAAAAAAAATATGGGGGTGAATACTAATTATTTTTTCTCGTTTTTTTCCGGTCAAAATAATGGAAAAAATATATAAGACATCAGTCTGGTCATTTGGAAACAGACACGTGGGTTCATTGAAAAGTAACCGGACATGGAAAATGTGATGTTGATTTAAACCATTCAAAAGTATCAGCTCTAATATTTTCTGGGTACGGGAGAATATGCAAGAATCAATAGCGCAACTCTTAAGTAATGCAAAAAGAATACAACTCTTCGTCTCTTAATTACCCACGAAGTAGCTAAATCACTAAAACAACTGAAAAGTTTTGCCGCCCTTCCTTATTTTAAAAAGAAAATGTGTTGCAAATCAGAAGATGTAAAAACAAATTGAAATTCGAGTGTGTTGAAAAAAATGAGGTCTAGAAGAAACCAAAAATATTCATAGTGACTAAACGCTTTTCCTATAAATTTTTAATCGTTTTGCTCAATGAGCTTAGATTTTCAAACATTTTACGAATTGCTTCGTATCTGAAAGAAGATTTTTGGTTTTTTTTTTCAAGTAGTAGTCTGACTGGTTTTCAAGTATCAGAGAAGTGTGACTCAATCTGAAAGTGACATCTCGAGAAAAATCAAAAACAGGAAAAAAATATAACGGTATATTTCAAAATTCGGTGTTAGAAAATGAAGTTTCCCAGAAAAACTGAAAGAAAAATTTATCTGGTCCTTTCTCATACGATTCTTGCGGTTTCCCCATAAAAATAATGTGGCTGAATCTCAATAAAACGAAAAGTAAAGGTTCAAAGTAACGATTTCTGACGCTTTCTCTATTTCTCTATTTCAGTCGAAAGAGATTTGTGGAACCAACAGAAATCCGACATATGTTATCAGAAGATAAAAAATCAAATAGTGGATGGCTTGTCTCTATTAATTGGGTCGCCTCAGCATTCAACTTGACAGCTGACAAAGGGTTTCAGAAGAAGAAAGAGATGAAGGAGCAAATGGTAACAAGGGGACTTGAATATTGAACTGTTTTATAAAAGGGCGTCGTTATAGGATTTTAAAGAATATTCCAAACATAAAAATACATTGAAAAAAATCTTTTCATACTTCAATATATTCTCCTCTCCCACTCATCACATGAATACTCTTCTTCAAAGATCAGAAAACATGGAAGATTGAGCCAATTTTCATTTGAATTCTGCAATGTTCCCTTGTTACTCTTATATGATCTTTATACTTTCTCGTGGCTATAAACTACAAGAACAGGTGAAACTTTGAAAATTAGAAATATTTTTGCAAAGACTGAAAGAAAATTTACTGTGCCGGAATGTTTTTGCTTATACCTATAAAAACAAACGCATAAAAAAACACTCAGTTGAATGGATTTTATGGGCGGTTAAAATGAATAGTGGCGGTTCTGAGAAGGAAGAAAAAAGAGGATAGAAATACATAGTAAAGGTTTGATCGAAAATCGGTGCTCTTGGGAAATGATTTTTGGTTGGCCGACACTCCATTTTTAGATTCTCGAATGGTGACTGAGGTATCAAAAGTTGGCCAATTTCAAGAAAAGTTTATGGTACTGATCAAGTTATTGAGAATCTTCCATTTCAGCTGGGAGGCTTCGGTTTCAGCTCCATGTTGCAAATTACAAAAATTCCTGAATGACTGCATGTCATGTTTTGAAAATTTTCTAAGAATGTGTCATTGTCTTGTATTATACGTATTCTAGTCTGACTGGTTTTCAAGTATCAGAGAAGTGTGACTCAATCTGAAAGTGACATCTCGAGAAAAATCAAAAACAGGAAAAAAATATAACGGTATATTTCAAAATTCGGTGTTAGAAAATGAAGTTTCCCAGAAAAACTGAAAGAAAAATTTATCTGGTCCTTTCTCATACGATTCTTGCGGTTTCCCCATAAAAATAATGTGGCTGAATCTCAATAAAACGAAAAGAAAAGGTTCAAAGTAACGATTTCTGACGCTTTCTCTATTTCTCTATTTCAGTCGAAAGAGATTTGTCATTTGAATTCTGCAATGTTCCCTTGTTACTCTTATATGATCTTTATACTTTCTCGTGGCTATAAACTACAAGAACAGGTGAAACTTTGAAAATTAGAAATATTTTTGCAAAGACTGAAAGAAAATTTACTGTGCCGGAATGTTTTTGCTTATACCTATAAAAACAAACGCATAAAAAAGCACTCAGTTGAATGGATTTTATGGGCGGTAAAAATGAATAGTGGCGGTTCTGAGAAGGAAGAAAAAAGAGGATAGAAATACATAGTAAAGGTTTGATCGAAAATCGGTGCTCTTGGGAAATGATTTTTGGTTGGCCGACACTCCATTTTTAGATTCTCGAATGGTGACTGAGGTATCAAAAGTTGGCCAATTTCAAGAAAAGTTTATGGTACTGATCAAGTTATTGAGAATCTTCCATTTCAGCTGGGAGGCTTCGGTTTCAGCTCCATGTTGCAAATTACAAAAATTCCTGAATGACTGCATGTCATGTTTTGAAAATTTTCTAAGAATGTGTCATTGTCTTGTATTATACGTATTCTCATTGGATGAAACATTCACATTTCCGTCGTGGTCTTTGACAGATGATGTGGATATCCCTTGAAAATTAAAATGGGACGAAAGACGGAGCAAGAGGAGGGGATGTGATGAAAATGAGACAAATTGGGTGCAATACCCTTTTTCTATTTCTTTTTTAGTCGCATCTTCTATTTGGTGAATTTCGAGAATACTCAAGACAAGACAGACACCATCCTTGTTTGGAAGGTTTCTGGAAAACACTTTTCAGTTGGAGAGGGACAGATTTCGGAGTCTCGAATTTTTTCCAAAGACACACAAGTTCATTCTCAGACAGCTTCCGCATTTTACGAATTTATGGTCCATACTCCGATTTACAAGCAAAATGATACAAAATCGAGGGGAATAAGTTCGAGAATTCTACAAAATAACAATATAAAGTGCCAGTTAGAGTTTTCCTTCGGTGAACTTTCTGAGAAGACTCTCCAGTTTCATCGCACCGGGCATGTCACCAGAGATTTTCAGTTTCTTTGTCATCAACGCAGTTGTTGGACGCAATTTTCCACTGAACAGAGGAGCAAAGTGTTCTGGTGCCAGGGTGAATTTGACATCTGGTTTGTGACAAGACTGATTGTCGATAATCTCTCCATCGCCGTTTTTCAAGTCTAATGTGATGAATCGCTCGGATTTTGTTACAGGATCTGAAAGCAAATTCTTTGAAAAAATATGAGGAACATTTTCACACCTTTTAGAATGAATTGATACACGAATCCTGTCTTCTTGACTATATCTCCATTCAAAAGGCGTTTCGCTGATTCGAAGGTCTGCTTGATTTCTTCCTCAATCACTCCTGCCTCATGGGCAACCTTCTTTTTTCCAAAGGTTGCTCCTGTAGAAAACTTATGGTCGTATGTTCCTGATGGAATGAAGAAATCAGGCATCAATGGCGCGCCGGGTACACATGCGTATCTACAAAGAAACATGGTTTTTCTTGAAACCTTGAAAACCAAACCTTTCAAAATCAGTGACACCTTCGGCTTTGAGAATGTCTTCATCGATCAAGAAATTTCCAGTAAAATCTCTGGAGTTTTTAGACAGAACAGCATAGGCGGCATCAGCCATGATAGCTGGTTTTCTGCTCCCAGCTTCTCCACCCTTGTCGGAGAGCATCTCCATGGCGGCAGTCCAGATGGCGGTGAGCGGCCATAGGGCATTCACAGCGATTCCTGTGATTCAATGGGTAGTTTCATTTGTATACATGTAACTCTACCGTGTGGTTTGAATTCTTCATGTTGTCCCAACACACACATTGACATTCCATATTTTGCCATTGTGTACGCCACATGATTCGCAAACCAACGTGGCTCCATAAGAAGCGGTGGTGAAATATTCAAGACATGTGGGTTCTTGCCCGACTTTAGATATGGAAGGCATGTCTTCGTCATCAGATATGTGCCACGTGTATTGATGGAATGCATCAAATCGTATCGTTTCATTTCGGTCGACTCAGTGTCGGTGAGAGAGATGGCTGATGCGTTGTTGACCAGAATATCGATTCCACCAAACTTCTTAACTGCTTCGTCAACTGATGCTTTAACAGAAGCTTCATCACGAACATCAACGATACATGGAAGAGCTTTTCCACCTGCCTGAAAATAAGTGGTTTGGAGAGAAGATTCATGATGCGGACAACCTTTTCAATTTCTTCGGCAGCTGTATAAATGGTGCCTGGAAGTTTAGGATGAGCAGTGGCGGTTTTGGCAGCTACAACAATATTGGCACCGTCGTTCGCCAATTTCAGCGCAATTTCTTTTCCTATTCCTCGAGATGCACCGGTTATCAACACAGTTTTTCCGACAAATTTTCTGAAAATTTCGGATTGAAAATCAGCTAACCGCAAACACAACAGGAACCTTACCCAGTGTTAAACATTATTCAGATAGATTGTCCTTGTTTTGGAGCTGAAAATCGTAAGAAATTGATTCAGTGTCTTGAAAATGAGAGATGTGTTATAAATAGTGTTGTTGTCTTTTATCTCTCTTTTTTCTCTGTGGAAAAGAGACGCAGTGATACAAAGAAAATACGACTAAGACTACATTCTGGGTGATCAAATAGGTCAAAGTATACACTACATGCGTACTATTCACTATGGAAAATAGCATTTTATGCATTGGAACAAATTATTGATGCTTTCACTCATTATACCGATAAAGAACTTTACCTTGATTATTATATGTGTAGTGGATACAATAAACCGAAAAAGTCGAAATTGAAAGCCGATTAACATATAAATTAACGGGGACAGGAGATTACTTTAGTGTTCAACAACAATAAACGAGAAAAAGAGGAGGAGTTAACAAACAAGTGGATATAATCGAATTTAAATTAATCATGGCTTTTGTCCAGCTGAATCAAGTCGTTTAAGCACGTCTTGCACCTCTTGCAACTTCTGAATGTGCCTGAGGAAGTGTTCTCCGACGTGGCGAGCAACTTTTGTGTCCGCGATGTTAATCATATCACGATCCACATAGAAATCGATATCGGTCTGTGGCTCATCGTCATCAACTGTTGATGGTCCTGCTTCCTTTCCTAGCTCGTTGACGATCATCTAAAAATCAAAAATATAATCTTGAATTTCTCATCTGAAAGTCTGAAAGTACTTTGTACGTCAAAAGTTTTCCGAGGAACGAATCATAGTTCTCTTCGTCGACATCCATGAACGAAGCGAGCTTCTTTGTTGGAAGAGTCGTGTATAGCTTGAGATATCCACGAAGAACTGGGAGAGCCATTTGAGATTCGATACCTTCCAAAAATGATTGTGTTTGACGGAGAAGTGGTTCCTTCGACTGATTGACACCCTCGTAAACAACAGTTGTAGGGGAAAGGAACTTCGGACATCCTGTGGAGAAGGCATTGCGGAATTCGTCAACATTTCCATTAGCCATATGCATCATACGCTCTCCGCATCTTTCTGCGAGTTGGGAAGCAATACTTTCATCGATTCTTTGTGGTTGCACTGCAAGGCAGATAGCCAGAAGGTAGAAGAGCTGATCCCATGTCTTTCCGATCACATCATACTGGAAGTTTTTCTTTGATGGCTGCTGGCTCTGCACGGTCTTGGTTCTTTGAATGTAAAGAAGGCAATTGACGAACATTTTTGTTGCCTCTCCGTAGTTTCTCATCATGAGATGAGAGAAACCAACAAAATAGTGGAGAGTGACGAGGCAAGTTGGAACTGTATTATAGATCCCCTTCGGGTCGATATCAACGTACTGAACGGTCTTGAGAGCTTGATGATAGTCACCGAGAAGGACGTGAGTACGCAGCAGACCAATTAAAGCGAAGTATCCCAACTTGAAGTACAGATCCGATTGCCCGAATTCGTCGGCAACGGAATCCGGGTTGCGTTTCTCCTGTAATGACTGATGAGTTATATTCACAAAGCTGCGGTTATTATTCATCTTCGTACTTAATATCACAACAATTTACCTTCAAAGCCTTCAGCTGCTCAACTATCTGAGACTTCGAGAGAAGAGAATAGAGAATATTCAACACGGGATAGATATTCCAGGCGTTTTGATTCTCCTCAATGTTGATGAGATCTTCAACCTCGTCGGCGTTTCTCTTTCCGGGGTTGGCTTTGTAGAGACAGAATGCTTGGAATTGATAGACAAACTCGTCAATTATGTCCCAAAGCCAAACATTTGGGAGAGACAATGGAATGGGATCTTTGCTGGAGAGAAGCTCCGAGAAAAGCTCTTGATAGTTCATGAACGACTCGTATCGATGGACAAGAAGTGGTCCACGAGCGTTTCTTGCGTACAACTGGCGATAGTATAGCTCTTTATACAGGATGATGAAGAGCTTATTACCAGGACCGATTATGCGCTCGACAACGTTCTCGTCAGGCCACATACGATCGCGGAAGAATCGTTCAGTGAGATCAGGAAAAGCTTGATCATAGAGAGTGAGAATCTCCGGCACATTTTGCTCATCAATCATGCGAGAAAAGTAGACAAGATAGTCGGCGACCTCGTTCGGGACACCATCTTCTTCAGCTGAAAAAGGGAATTTTCAGAGATTTTCATGAATACACAAACTGTTATTATTTCCAGTCAATCTAGTTACTTACAAGAGAAGGTATTAGTCCGACGACGATCCGTATGATCTTCGTGACTCATGTCAAACTCCACGCGACGGGACATCTCTGAAAATTGACAATTTGCCAATTAAATATGGTTATCATTGATTTTTAAGAGGAAAAGCAGAGAAAAAACAACGAAAAACCACCAAAATTGAAGATTTTGGACTAAATCAAGAGAATTGAGTGGAGAGAAATTGAAAACGCACCGTGCGCGCGCTGTTTTCGCAATAGTGCGGCAGGGTTTCGGGGAAAATGCCTTTTGCGCTAGTCGTTAAGTGCTCTGTTTTTCTATAGATTATTCTACAATTTAGCAATTTTTTCACTAAATTTCATGTGTTAACAAATCTTTTATTTGTCTTTGTCAATGTTCATGCTGCGATTTGTGTTTCATGTTTTCAAAATATTGATTTGTGTGGAACCAAATGCCTCCGCAGAAATGATGACTTTCGTCGATTTACAATCACCTGGACACAGTCTCATTTTTTGTCTAACTTTTTCCAATTTTAATGATTTTCCAGATATGGTTCACGAGATCCCTCAAGCCGAACGTGTCGACGAAGTTGACTTGTTCCTCAGTCAACAAGATGGTCAAATTCAACGCCCCAAAGGTCCAAGCTGTAGACATCCTGCTCGTCAAAAGTGTACCAATTGTTTGCCATTAGATGTAAGTACCTATAGTTGTTCCTACGAATCCCACTACATATTTTTTTCCAGCCCTTCGACGAGGAATATTTGAAAGAAAAAGACATCAAACATATGAGTTTTCATGCCCATGTTAGAAAACTTCTCGGAACCCACGGAAAAGGGACGTCCCTCAACAAGCCTCTGGAAAATCTCCGCTGCTCACTGAAACAAAATTGCCCCGACCATAAGCCGTTTCCGAAGGGAATTTGTACCAAATGCAAACCGCAAGTAGTCACATTGAATCGTCAGAAGTTTCGCCACGTTGACAATATTCAAATCGAGAACCAGGAGTTGGTGAATCAGTTTCTGGATTACTGGCGTGTTTCCGGTCATCAACGAGTTGGATATCTTATCGGACAGTATCAACCGCACCCTGAAGTGCCGCTGGGAATCAAGGCAACAGTTGCTGCAATCTATGAGCCTCCCCAACACTGTCGTGAAGACGGTATCGAGTTTTTGGAAGACAAAAACGAGAAAATTGTGGACAAGCTTCTCGAAATGCTCGGTTTGCAGCGTGTCGGATGGATATTTACGGATTGCTGGACAGCCGCAAGAGCCGAAGGAACGGTCCATTATACTCGTCACAAAGACTCGTTTTTCCTCAGTGCAGAGGAATGCATTACCGCAGGAATGCTTCAGAATGCTCATCCCAACGTGACAGACTACTCGATGGATCGCCGTTATGGATCCAAGTTTGTCACTGTTGTTGCATCGGGAGACGAGTCAATGCATGTCAACTTCCATGGATATCAAGTATCAAACCAGTGTGCTGCGATGGTTGAAGCCGAAATCCTTTGTCCCACGCTCTACACACCAGAATTGGCATATGTTCGAGAGACACCACTATCAGAGGCCCACTACATTACCGATGTGCAGTACACAGAAAAGAATGAGTATGGAGCCGAAGTATTGAAAAACGGACGTCCACTTCCAGTTGAATATCTTTTAGTGGATGTGCCAGCTGGCATGCCGAAAGAGCCACACTACACTTTCCACATCGGAACCATGACCAACTCGAAGAATGTAAAGTTCAATGTGGAGAATCGGCAAGCAATCGGACAACTTCAAGGAGGCGCCAACCTGACACAGTATAGCGGAGAGTTCTCTACCAATCAGTTTTTGGAATTGGCTACGAATTTTCATTTCCTTTTGTACCTTTTGACAAATGAAATGGTGCAAATTCCCGAAGATTGGGTCAAGCGGTTGTGTGATGCGGTGAAAGATCAAGATAGAGGAAAAGCAATGGATTGGGCGCAAGAATGTGAGGATTGGCACCAATTGATGGCTGTTGCTCATGCAAATGATGGAGGATCACGCAATGGTAATGATTTTGTTGTTCAAATCAATGAATTACCGTTTTAAAGTTTCAGATATTCCTGAGCTTCCTGGAGGCAATCGGTTCGATGAGGTCAATGCCGGAGGCGGTGGTGGAGCCACATGGAACTGCGGGCACTGCACTTTCCAAAATGAAGCTGGAAGACAGGATTGTTCAATGTGTGGATTACCAGCATCCGATTAAATTTCGAAAAAGATTATTTATTGAATGTAAATGCATTTCGCTTCTTCCGACTGTTTTTCTGTAAATTACCTTTCTTTCTACTAGTACCTCCTCACTGGTTCATTTCTCTCAACATCAACATTTAATCATTTTTTGTCTTCTGTAATTTCCTTCCTTTCCGAATCATTATTGTTTCCTGCTTCCTATTTCTATGAATTCTTATTGATGATAACCTGATCTCGTTATTTTTTCTCTAATGATAATGATCACTGAAACTGTGTGAAACAACACAGTCTCATGTATTACTGCAGTGTTGCAAGTGAGACCTGCGAATGCTGTAAAAATGAGAGGCGGCGTCTTTTTTAGGTGCTGTTCTCGATCTCGTTTCGCAAGGTCACCAACGGCTTCTTCTCTCGATGAACGGGTTTCGGTTTTTTTTGAGTGACTTTTCTTAGAAGAAAACAAAAAAGAAAGGAACTGTAATGTATGTGATTAGTTACAAGTCATGCTATTCACTTTTTGTTCGTTTCTGTTCTTTTCTACGACTAGTATTATTATTATTATTATGTCCAGTTTTTCTGATGTCCTTGTTTTGTCACCTTCATTTACTAGGTTTTTACTCCTTTCTTTTTATTACAATATACATTTAAAGGAGCTCATAGAAATGTTATTACTGGAAAAAATTAATTAACTAGATGTTTAAGAAAATTAGATTGAAACACTTTTTTTTCTCAACAACTTTTCGGAAATTGATAGTTTGCATACTTTTTTTAAATCAAGAACGCACCAAATTTTATATTGAGATTTCTGAAAAAGAATCATCGAAAAAATTGATAGCATCTCGAAGTCTACTGTAATAGAACACCCGGAGAAACTTAGGAGGAATAGAAGGACAACCTCTTATGATACAAATCTTACTGTCTTTTTGTTTTTCCTGTATTTAGCAATAAATTCAAAAAATTGGAGGACGGCATTCAATAAATTATGGGATATTTCACAGCATAGTGGTTTTCTTCCGATCAAACTACAACTGGCGCCTGTATGGGCGACCAAAAAGTCATTACTACAATTTGTTGAACGAATTGTAGGATAAAACGAAGAGATAGAGGTCAAGAAATCATGTGTTTTGAACTGATAGTAAAACTCTTATATTTTAGAAAAGTGTCTCAATCATAGATTGATGTTGCTTGATTGGGCGGAAAATGATTCTTTCCCTTGCGCTTTAATTTTGTTTTGCATTTCTTTTAAATGTTCCAGATATTCCTAAAATTTCTTTTGCAGTTGAGCCTTTCTCATAGTCACCTTCCTCATATTCAGAAAACTCAATTTAAATATTCACTGGGCAATGTCTGGTCTTTGAAATTCTGAAATTCTATTCTCATAGTTCTCTCTCTCTCTCTCTCTCTCTCTCTCTCTCTCTCTCTCTCCCAAAAATTCTGTAAAGTTGGTCAGGCTTTTAACAATTTTTAAGGTCACACTGTTCGTTAACAGACAATGGAGAACAAAAAAAAATCGAGGCTAGGTGGGTTAGTTGCATAGTGTACGATAATGGGAACCTCGAGAATGTACAAGGACGGACGGTGAAGAACGGGTTGACAGGAGAAAAAGATATGTTTTTAGGTGTTAAGATGGTTAATGCTTATTAATGTTTCCGATTGAGAATATTTTTGTCTTTTGTAGGCTCACTGAGAGTATTCTGGTTTATTTAAAGTATCTAACGTTGCCTTTCATTCCAAAACCATCGTATATTAGGTTGTTCGGAAAGTCCTTTCCATTTTAGCGTCAGATTCATTCGATATAAAAAAAGGTCAAAACGATGTCAGATAAATTCAAGATAATGACCATTGTTATCAGTGACTATCTGCCAACGTCCCACCAAATTGTGGATGCCTTCCTTCCAGAACTCCGGTCACAGCGCATTGAAAATCAGGTCAACCCATTTTTGGCATCATGCTTTGAAGTGAATTTTTTTCAATCAAGATGTCGGTAGAAATGGCTGGATAGGGGGTAGTCAGACAGTACAAGGTTTGGACTTCGAAAGGGTGCATTTTCGTTGTTAACCTCCACAAATTGGTGATTGATTTCAGTTGATCTGAGGTCAGATAGAAATACAAATAAAATGGTAGTCCAAAAATGGAAATTATTAGAGGGGAAAACGGTGGGCATAACTCACTGCACGAAAAAATTAGGATGATCTCCGTTTTGGTGTAGACACTATTAGACTTCACCAGCATACTGATAAAACGACAACTTCCTCGCTTTTACCCCCTTCAAGAAAACGAAGTTTAAAAACGACATTTCAAAAGTGGAAAGGACTTCCGAACAACCTAATATATTGCATTACCATGGCTTTACCTTCAAAAAATAATGATTATCCAGCTAGGTTTCTTACCTAACTGAACAGTTCTATAACGTTCTTTTCAAATTGGTTGAGTTCCTTCGAAAATCATTTTAATGATAAAATAATGAGATTTGTCAGCTAGGTAAAAAACTTAGTGTTTTACCTAATTTTCTTGTTTACTGAATGAGCAAAATAGGTGAAATACGAAGTTTTTACAGAGCTAAATAGTCCCATAATGCTTTTTCCGAAACTGAAGAGTTACTTCAAAAAATCCTTTCTAATGTCACCAGCATTTGGCTGAACTCTATTGTCACTGCTTGACAGACAAGAAGAGAACCAGTCTAATCAATTGATGAACAACGAGAAACAAACGTAAATATAAGAAAAATAAAATGCAAGGATGCGTCACAAATTTATTGGATAGAAACAAAATTCATAGTATGTTAAAATGTTCTTTTTGTAGCTCGTTGACATAGGGCTCACCTCCTCATATGCCGTATATTCTGGGAATAGCTAGAACATAAACATTTTCCTAACTCTAAGCCCACTGTTTTTTTGAGTGACTGATATCAAGCAATCTCCAACTCTGAAATGTGTTTCATAAAACTTTGAACTATTATCAGTCTTTAGTCTTTAGCATTTCAGCCATCCAGATAAGTGAGGTCAACGTGGTTTTTTTTCAAATATTGGTCACACTATTCCAATTTCTTTCCGCCTATCTCTATCTGATCTTCACAAATTTTATGGGCACTTTTGAAGACATTTTCTTCTCCCATTTTCTCGTTGTCTTCCTCATTCTCATTTCACTTTTCCCTCTTTTTTTGGAGACTTCGAAACGACCTTAGCCAATTGCCATGAGATAAGTGTCAAAAAGACAACACCGGAAACATCTTCGAGACATCATCTCTTGACCTTCATATCTAAGTGTCGTATTCATAAGGTATTGTAGAAGCTAGGAGTCGTTGATGACTCAATAGAAAACCGTTCATAAAACTTGTGTTGGTTTCGTCACAAGAAATAAATAGGTTGAGAACTTTCTAGTATTTTTCTGAAATGATAATGCATTCGTCCGAAAACATTTTTGTGTTCACTTTAAAAACCATGCACTTTGACTCGTAAACACTCCTGCAAGTACAGTATTTTAGAGTTCAAGAGCTACTACCAAAACATGATTTTTGCCTCATCTCAAAAATGACGAATCTAATGTAATGCTTCAAAAAATCTGTTTCCTTTCAAAAAAAATCAGATGACCAATCCAAGATGACCACTTCAGAAAAAGTCCAACACGAGATTTTTTTGGAAACAAAAAAAAACGAGGTTGAAATGATGAAGTCTCCACTCAAATCTGCAACACAAAAAATTTCTGACTGGACAGGTATTTTTTGGAGAGTCTCATTAGAAAGGGGTGGTCTGGAACGAAAGAAGAGGGGTATACAGCTGTTGATCACATACACACAAAACCCCATTCCGTGCCAATACTATCCTAGGTTTTCGAATGCCTCATCGAAATACAGTTTTTTTTTAAATCTTTACCACTGTTTTTGAATAAAAACAAATAGAAAAAAATACATAACAAAGGGATATCCGGTGTGTCTCTGATGTCATTTATCCTTTTCTCAGTTTTCTCGACGACGTCTTCTACGTCACCAGAAGTTTGGCGATTTAGCATTTCCACGCTCGTATCTCTTCGTTGTGATCTAGATACTGATCTACTAACAAAATGAACACAAATGTAGATATTTTTGTGTTTTTTTTTAAATCTTGGAATTATGAATCTTCATTGGAGAGGTTTGATGTATAGAAATAGGTTTGGTGCCCGTTCTCTTAATCAAATTTGACTTGTTTCACAAAGTATTCCTAGACATTCTACATTTTTTTTTGACCGCAAAGCATGTCGGAAATCAGAGAAATTTGCTTAATTTTTGGTGGATTTTTTCAAATAGTGATTTTTTCCAAAACTTACAAAACTTGCTCAAACACATATTTATTTTAAAAAATCTCTCTGACGATAGTTTTGCTCAAAATTCGTTTTAGTTCTTCGAAATTTCGAAATTTTATTTAAAGTTTTGGTTGAAGATGCCAATGCAGAAAACCGCACTCTGAACGAAATCCTTGCAATCTTTTTCTCATTCCAACAAATTTCTAACGGTAGTTTTTATATGATCTACGTTCTCAAACTGATAAAACTCAAGCTGAAGTTTCCTCGAGAACTGTTAATTTTACATCTTCAGGTGGATCACTTGTTTGGCATTTTTAAACAAGTTTATGTGATCATCAGAACGTTGGTACCACGTGCTGGCTAAAGTAGTGACCTGCTAGGAGGAGTTGTAAGATCTGTTTTTTTGATCACTGCGTTTTTTGTATTCTCTTGGTTTTTTTGAACTGAATGATATGGGGGAAAAATAGCATCTTATAGGGTCGTTTTCATATCTGATCACAGAAAAGTTGATCGAGCTTTTCTTCAAAATATTTTTCAGCAGACGTCTTGGAATTTGACAATTATTCTATGGACGTACCTTCTTTGTCTTTTTACCAGTTTTCTTCTTCTTCTTTTAACTATATGTTCCTTTTCCTGACCCCTATTCGTTTATTCTGAATTATTATCCCACTTCACACAAGACTAGTTCCCACACAAAAGTAACAGATTCCACCTTTTTTTGGGGTGTTGTTCTAGAATACCAAACTCGATTCTTCTTCGTTTCTTTCCCATTTTCCAATCAACCAATTTTCGTTTTCACTTTTCTCATCCATTCCCTTGAAATGTTCGCTTCTCCCCATTTTCCATTCCTCCTCATTAACATATTTTTCATTTATTTTTTGACCTTATCGAATCCTCGCAAGTTTTTCTTCTTGTATATTGGTTTGTCTTACACAACTTGTTTTGTTTGTTGCGCTTCTTATCGTAACCTAATTCGGCAACTACCTATTTTTCTCAACCTAAATTTTTAGCAGGTTCCATCACAAATCAGAGTTACAAAAGAGAGAACTACCTTTAAAAGGACTCAGCAACAGGTTGGTTTCTTCACATTACTCAGTTTTTACTCTCCTTTTTGGGTTTCAGAAATGAAACATAAGGTTGAAAGGGCCTCAGATAACACATGGTTTGTCCGAATCATTCATTGGTTTTTCCAAAAATGCTCAGCTCTCATGTGGTGAGACTTTTCGAACAAATTTCAAACATAACATTTCCCATTTTAGTTATTGCCCATGGACATGCATATTGCTCACTACTATTCTAACACTGGTTTTGGCACTGAAAATTCCTTTCACTAGAATGCAAAATGACATCAGTGACTTCACACCATTTGGTGCAAAATCGAGGGTAGAACTGGAAGTAAGAGTGAGACAATTGATTATTTTTCTTAAACCATATTTTAGAAGTATCGACAATTTTTCAATAACCATGGCGAACCAAAGGCTATCTACGCTTTCATCACTTCTAAAATTGGAGATAACATGTTAGGAATCTCCCAGTTGAACGACACAGTGCATGTTCTTGATAAAATTTCTCGAGATTTCTATTTGAAAACATCTAATGGCCCGAAGAATTTTGAGGAATACTGTAGTGGATTTTGTTTACTAAACGAACCAGTGAGGCATTTTTATGTGAGTTGAAAATCAAATCAAATTATGTTTTGATCTTGACAATTTCAGAACGGAATGTTGATTTCTGGACAACACGGAACGGATTTCAGTCATTTGGATTTGGGTTATCCTATCACCACAGTTCTAGGCACTAAGTTATTTATGGATCCAAACTTTTTCGGCGTTAAAGTGGCGACAGAAAACCACAAGATTGAGAGTGTAGCTGACGGAAACATTAGACTCTTCGGAGATAATATGGTATAGAGAATTGCAAGCGTGAAAATAAATGAAATATTTTCAGAAACAAGAGCCAAACAACATTCGAGAAGTATCACTAGTAGTTTTACAGTTTAGATCAGAGTTGGGTGATGAAGTGAAAGCAGAAGATCTAAGAAATTACGAGCATGAAATACTGGACTATATCCATGAGTAAGTTTCAGATAGTGTTAATGAAAACAATCCAAAATTCTCAGCGAATACCAATCTGCCCATATCAATGTCTACATACTAACCGATTCTTATATCACTGAAGAAATCGTGAGAGCTGGGCTCACTCTTTTGCCATTTCTCGTCATCGGTTTCATTATCATGGCTGTATTTTCCTCAATTACTTTTGTTATCAGTGCTCATTACTTGAAACAGCTGAACATTTATAAGGTGTCATTTAGTTTCAATACATTTTAAATTTAAATCCTTTAGGTTGTTCTTGCTGTAATGGCATGTGTATGTCCATTTATGGCATGCGGAGCAAGTCTGGGAGCAATGTTTTACGCTGGCTTTCGATTTGGGTCCATTTTATGTGTGACCCCTTTTTTGGTTCTAGCCATCGGAGTAGATGATTCATATTTAATGGTAAATGCATGGCAACGGATCACATGCCACAGAAGGAAATATGGTCGAATTGAAAGTGTCCATAAGGAACTGAAACATAGAATAACAGAGATGTTTATTGAAACTGGACCATCTATTACTATTACTACCATCACTAATGCGTTGGCATTCGGAATCGGAGCAACAACCCCAGCTGCAGAAATTCAACTTTTCAGCATCGGAAATGCTCTAGCTGTCACGACTGATTTTGTGTTCACTGTTCGTCCAAAACAGTTTATATCCAAAACTTTATACTTTCTTGTAGATAACTTTCTATGGAGCGTTAATGGCTGTCGTTGGGAAGTATGAAATTACAAAGGAGCTGGAAACGCTAAAAACTCTTCCAGGAGCTGAGACGCCATCAGAAACTTCTTCAGCGGGATCGGATACCTCTTCAGAACCAGAAGATTGTAAATTTCGAAGGGCAATCGCTAAAATCTGCAAATTCTTGACAAACACTTGGGTGTGTTCCATAGTTTTAGGTCTACTAGCGGTCTATTGGTACATCTGTATCATCGGAACTGTCAACATAAAATCCGAATTAAGTCCAAACAAACTCTTCTTAGAAGAAAGTAACATTGTGAAGGTAGTGATCTGCATCGATATAGGTTGAAGTACGAATTTTTCAGATTTTCAAGCAGCGGAAGACACATATTATTCCTTATTACTCTGCTTGTTGGATTCTGGTGGAAAACCCTGGAGATATTAACGACAAATCTCAACGTGCAAAACTTGAGGATTTGGTACAATCATTTGAAAGTCTACCGTCTGCAAATGGGCGATACTCCACAAAGTTCTGGCTTCGAGACTATGAAGACTTTCTGAAACAATCGGAAGACATTGATTTACCAATGGAAGAGGAGGATGAAGAGTTGGCAATTGAGTTTAGTGTCAATGGGAGCCAAGTAGTCACACCATCTCAACCATTTGGGAATGGAAATGAGTTGAGACAGTTCTTGGAGTGGCCAGAGTTTTCATTTTGGAAGGGATTCGTTCAGGTTTGAGACTTGATTTATATCCAAAAAATAAATTGTTCAGATCAATGAGTCGACCTACCAAATGTCTAAATTCCTAGTTACCACTGCATACCATGGCTCAGAACTGGTTGATTGGTCTAACAGAGCAAAGCTTTTGAATGAGTGGAGAGCAGTGGCTGACCAAGAGAAATATCGCTCATTGAACGTGACTGTTTACGAAGAAGATGCTAAATTCCTTGACCTAATTGAAACGATGTCTCCTGTGGCTATTCAATCTGCTCTCTGGACGTTTGCTTCAATGTTCCTGGTAGCTGCTTTATTCATCTCCCACCCTCCAACTCTTTTCGTTGCCACATTTTCAATTCTCTCTACATCGTTGGGAGTATTTGGAATAATGTCTTGGTGGGGTGCCGACTTAGATCCAATTATGATGTCTGCTACTGTAATGTCTATCGGATTTTCTGTCGATATTCCATCTCATGTTAGCTATCATTTCTATCAGACTGCCAAGGACACGACAGACATCAGAAGACGTCTTCAGATGACGATAGAAGCAGTTGGATTCCCTATTTTCGAAGCATCACTGTCCACATCGCTTTGTGTTATGTCGTTGTTTTTTGTGGATTTGAATATGGCTCAGGTGAGGGAATCTTTAGAAATCAAGATGTAATTATCGTTTAGATATTCGCAAAATGTATGTTATTGGTTGTTGTAATTGGAATGATTCACGGAATGTTAGTGATGCCTGTCATATTTTCTCTACTGGATACAGTACCCAAAAAGTTTGCTCCAAAGTTTAAAAATCAACATCTATCATCGACAGTAACGGTAGTCACAGTGATCACTTAAATGATACGGTTTCATATAATATGTATGTACATAATTTTTTTTCATCTCGATTCTAGTTTGCAGTTTTACGGGTTTGACACCTTCTCTCTCACACTTTCTCTCTCTTTGTTTTGTAAATATATTATTCTCTTCCTCTGATTATGTTATATTTTGTTTCAATGGTGATAAATGCTGATTTCACACTGAAATCTACTATTGATGAGACTTCAAGTTTTGGGAAGTACAGTACATTTTGAATGGAAATGTTATTTATGTGATTGCAAATATAAAAACTCAGAATTTATATTGATCCTCAACAAGTTTGTTTGCCGCTTCCATGGATATTTTCGAGACTTCTCTGATATAACACATTGCATCGTCCACATTAATTGATCCAGAGTATCCAATTTTCTTCAAAACATTAACAAATTTTCTGCCAAAAGCCAATACTTTCTCTTCACTTTTTTGTTTTCGTAGGATTTTATGGTATTGCATTATAAGAAGAGTTAGTGTTTCCTTTTGATGAATATTTGGGGAGTCCTGCAGAACCTTTTCAATTCCAGACGATTTTGAATTGACTAATCGGAGGAGTCCATTGTTGTTATCGCAGAAGAATCTAATATCCGAATCAGTGGTCTGAATTTTCAAACATTGAGAACATCCAACTTTAATATTTCAACCAACCATAGGCATTATAGATTTTGGAATCATTTCCAGAACGTCACACATTTTCAACAATCCTTTCAAGTTTCTCATTGGCTTCCATCTAGTCATATTTTTAAGACAAAACTTTATATTTTTCAAGTTTTGAGCTTTCCATTCGCGAGAAGATGGCTCTTGCCGACAGATATATGGAGAACTGAGAAATTATTTCTCATTTAATCGTTTTCTTTTCAACCAACCACTCAAAAAAGAAATTCCAAAAACGTTCTATTTTTCCATCTTTCCAGTCTTCAATATCTGTTTTATAAGTATTTTCGATTGTTGATACGATTGGTTTCGGAACATTTCTTCTGCTTTTGGAGTTGCTGAACGTACTGAAAGCCAGACATCGCATAACATCTTCATTGTATTTTGTAGCTGTCTAAAAATTAAAAAAAAACAATCGTAGTATTGTTAAGAAAAATAAGTATTACTTACTCCTTTTGTGTTCTCGTCCATTGATATGTTTTTTAGACTTTCCAACAAAGCCATAAAACAATTAGAAGCTTCAGAACATTTTCCAACCAACAAGTATGCAAAAGCAATCTTGTAAAGTTCTCTGATTTGAACATCGAAATCTAATCCGAAAAAGTATTCAATCTCGAAATCATTGAGTAGTTCTAAAATTGCAGAATTGTCCTCTACAAATATGTAAATCTTGAGTAGTCCGAGAAATGCAGAACATCGAAACTTGGTTGATGGTTGAGTGAGAATCCAAGTCAAATGAATTATCACTGCATTCTTGTTCCAGTTCTCGTCTTGAGTAGTCAAGGCGGTGTACTGAAACTCATATTACTTTAACTTCAACAACAGATTCGACATACTTGATACTTAAATACAAACCGATCGATAATATCAAATATCCAGATGTCCGGAAAAAAATTGAATGAAGGTAAATTTAAGAATAGTTTTTGATAGATGTTCCAGGCTTCTTGGCTACAAACTTTGGTCTCTCGATAATACAATTCTTCACACAACGATATAAATTTTTCAGTGTGTTGTTCATTTGTATTTCTTAAAGACGAGAAGCATTCATAGGACTTACTCCTAAAAAAATGAACGGTTGACTTTACGAAAACACTGGCTTACCTCTCAAAATATTCTTTGTAGAATTTTCTGATTTCTGTTGTGTTTTCTTCTGTGATAATTTTTGAAAGTTTATTGAATAAATTAGTCGCTTCTTCTCCTGCACAAATCATGTTTTTTCTTGCTGAATGTAAAAAAGCAATCAATGAAACAATAATAAATTCACCAACTTTCATTCAAACTTTCCGTAGCTTCCGGTATTTTCTTTGTTATACATGTTGATCTGTTTCCATTTTCCTCACTTCTCGGCAATTCTTCGAAAATTGAGAACCCAATGACTAGGCCAATATTCGTCGGCTCGGTCTGAAAGAGTTTCTATCAACGTGATATAAAAAAGGGGAAATGGGAGAATAAGATTCAGACTTTTAAAAAACTAACAATCTCCAAATTGTGAATCCGTTGCACTATATCACTCGACAGCTCGGATTCCTTGCATATCTTTAACTGCCTCTCTGCTTCTTTCCTCAATTCTCTCTCTCTTGCCAACTCGTCTTTCAACCGTTTTATTTTTTGATGTAGACGATTTGACTCTATCAGCATAGGGCAACTGCAAATTTGAAAACATAAAAGTTTGGAAATTCACTTTAGTGAGATAAATAAGCGAGGATTGAAAAATCAATACAAAATATCTTCCAAGAAACATCATTTTGTTTAAAGTTTCCATTCTGTGTTTTTCTGTGTCTCATCACTTCTCATGCAGCGAATCCAAACCAACCTGCTCCACTTTACAACCAAGCTTCTACTCTCTTCTTGGATTCTATCTCTTTCTCATACATCACTTGGAAAAGATGAAGAGTGTGACTGACATTTAATTCCAAGGGTTAAAAAAATATGGAAAAATATGAATTGCTTCTCATAAATGAAGTCGAGATGACAATCACTGAAAAAATCCCAAATGAATGTGAAACCTTTTATTTCAGAAAAAATTAATATTTTCAGGTTTCGTTAATCACCCTTGCACTTTTCTTAAGGTTCATCCAATGGTTTCCACCTTAGGATACGCCAATTTGGACTTCCTTCTTCTTCAAGTAATCGACATCAATTCCTGTTGTTATCATTCCAATAACCTCAATAGAGTCCCTCTTGTAATCTGAATAAGCTTATTCGTATCATTTAGGTCGTACTCTTTGTATTCTTCTGTTATTTTCAATTTATTTTCAACTGTTATTTTCAATTTGTTACTAGAAAATGCCAAAAGTGACTTAGAAATTAATGATTCTTAAGAATTTGTTTGGACTTGTTGGCGGACAACTAGAAAATCTATTTGCCAAAAGTCATCTAGTCAATCCAATTTCATCCAATTTTTATTAATCCAATTTCAGCCAATTTTCATATTTGCATACTTGTAACGGGCCGGGCCGAGCCGGGCTTTTTCCCGAATTTCACTCTTTTTTGAATTTTTTGGCATTTTCTGACTTTCGCATTAATTCTAAGCATGTTAGAAATATTTTTAAGGTGTCTGGACCTCTAGAAAGTATAAAATAATATAATAAAATACGAATTCCTGTTATTTGTTTCTTTATTTTAGGCTTAGGCTAGAACGCCTTGGCACTTGGAATATGACTATTTTGGAACTTCTATACCGATTCTCGGGCATGACTCCCGGACATGCAGCATGCTCTGTCATCATTTCTGATGTGATGTGCTTTTTTCACCTATTTTGGCAGTTGAGATTCGGGGCACCCAACTTATAAGCGTTTGGAACCTAATAGCGCGGGCCTTATAAGCGACCGGACTCTTCTTTGGGTCATGACCGATAAGGATAGAGGCGAAAATGACATTTGTTGCTCCGATGGCGAACGTGCTGAGCATGTTGGGCTTGTAACTTTCACTATAGATTGTTATACGAGACAGAGTATTCTTACGCTGGGATAGTCCCCTCCCCCAGTACTAGCCTAGAAGTGAATGACGAAAGGATTATGGAGAGGGAGACTGCTCATCCTTTGAGAATGTTGTCCGCATATTTAACAACAAGAGCGATCACAAGTCCTC